TTGAGAATGAAAATTCAACCAGTTGAAGAAAAAATTGTAAAAAAACTTTTTAATGAGGTTGAAAAAGCATTATACGGAGGGAAGTAAGGATATCCAAACAATCGAACTGCTTGAGAGCTGTGAAAGACATACCAATTCGAATAGTGCCAATCAATCGATAAGAGCAAACTCCAAAGTACGCTAATACGAAAAAACCCAAAAGCAATAAAAAAACAAAAAATAAACCGATTTCAGATTGGTTATAGATAGAGGAGAAGCAGTGCCTCCTGGAAAGTTAATGACAGAGAGCTCCGAATGCCACAGAATGCAAACAGTATATTTTATGTATAGAATAAGGTGTAATGAAAAGAGAAGAAATTAAAAACACCTTTTAAGGGAGAAGGGGAGATTTTAGTTCAACAGAAAAGTTACATAATAATCATCGGAATGAAATATAAATTTCAATTAAGGTTCTAACTTTTTGAAGGAATGATCCGGTTAGTGAAAGAGCACATCTCTATCCAAAGAAAACGGTAGAAGAGCGGATATTCAGATATTTATCACTTCTAGTCATTTCTTTTGTACCCAGTACGCGGTGGCAACTTTGGATTGTGCATCTAAAGAACAATCTAACCAACATTTAGCTGCCCTCGGATAACATAAGATTTAAGAAGCGATTATGAGAAGCAGCTGTTTTCGCTGGTTGGTTCATTTATAATTGTGATTTTGGCATTCTCTGCTGCCATCTCCGTTTTCGTTTGGTTAACTGTCATACGTTATGAGCTCTTCTCACTGCTCATCCTTTTTGATAGACAGAAAGGTAAACAAAAGAAATCTGATTTCAAAGTACAAACGATTGAGTAGCAGATAGTCGCTGAGTCATCGTTCAAATTTGATCGATGGCAAAGCCTCCAGTCCATCCATCCATCAGTGCATCTCTAATATCTCTCTTACAGGCTGCTATTTAGAGAATGACTCCATACTTGGTTGTCTTCTATATCTTCCTCATCACTGGAGGCTTTGCCATCGATGATGATATTTCCTCAGTACCCCACATACGTCAGCGTCGCTTCAGCATCCCTTCTTTTGTAAAAAAATATTTATTTGACAAAGTGTTAGAATGGATTTTCGGAAGTGATAATAAGAACAAAGCAGAAGATCCGCAAAGCAATGTTGACAAAGCTGGTACTTCTACAGAAACCAAAAGCGTCAGCACAGAAATCAACATTGTAAACGTAATCAATAACTCACTAGGACAGAATCCAGGAACCACAATCGTTGATGCTCCGGCTACTACAGGAACCCATAAAGACAAAGCAGGAAACACTGAAATGAGAACCGTGCCTGCTCCGTCTCGTACTTCTACGGAAGCTGAAAATGTTGCCACGGTGAATGAAGATGGAACCTATGAAGACAAAGCAGGAAACACGGAAAGCGGAACTTCACCTTCTCCACCTCGTATTTCTACGGAAGTTGAAAACGTTGCCACGGTGAATGAAGATGGAACCCATGAAGACAAAGAAGGAAACACGGAAAGCGGAACTTCACCTGCTCCGAGTCATACTTCTGCAGAAGTCGCTGAGAGACAAGAATCAGCACCTGCTCCGGCTCATACTGCTGCAGAAGTCGCTGAGAGACAAGAATCAGCACTTGCTCCGGCTCATACTGCTGCAGAAGTCGCTGAGAGACAAGAACCAGCACCTGCTCCGGCTCATACTGCTGCAGAAGTCGCTGAGCGACAAGAATCCGGGAACAACGAGATGCAATTCGCGGATCGGATAATCTCAGATATCGCGTAATGAACAATTTTCTAATTTTGACCGATTAAAGTTCGAACAAAAAAGTTCAGAAGCCAGCAGATGATTAACCATCTCACTAGATTCAGAGAAATACAATGAGGAAGAATTTAAGGAAGTTCAAGTTATAGTGAAGTTATAAGTGTGACCTGGGCTATGAGACAGAAGCTGCGTTCAATAGTCAGAAAGAAGATCAACAAATGAAAGAGAAAGATATTTATTACTTAAATTAGCCATTCTTATACTATATACAACAAAAGACGTATGTTTATATAAGTTAAAAAGATTAGGACTGAGCTGAATTTCTTTTCACTAGAGAACCAAGGTCATAACATCATGCTTAGATCATACCGGGATAATCAGCGCTACAAAGTTATGGTTTTAGCACTGTGTACTGAGGTCACCTTTCTAGCTGAAAAACACTCATTGAGAAAATTGGAACACCTGCTGGACAACCGGAACGGAAGAAACAGAGCTTAGAACAGACATTCTCCTTGATCTCGTTCACCCTCTTGTTGTAGTCTGAGTTGGACATCAACACATAGTAAGGACCAGATATTGGATAAATGCATAATAAAAGTATTGAAAAATGAGCGACGACTGAAAATAAGGTTTGCACGATGTAAGAACATTGAAGCGATCTGTCTACCAAGGTTACCCATATTGAAAATGGCACAAGAAACAAGAATGAAACAAGGAACGCCCACCCCGACCAACTCGACAGCTCCCTGAATAAGAGCTTCAGCTTCCCTCTATACTCTCCTTCTTACGAAATAGATTATGCCAACAGTAATTCTACGCTGATTGGCTAGGAACTGAGCAGACTGCGAAGACTTTCCCTGATCCCTGATGCTCATAACAAGAACTGCCCCACAGATACATGCTACGATCATGTAGAAGACGACAAATAAGGACATGCAAAACATAGCTATCATGAATTCTATGTTATCGGCGAATATAAAGTTGACGCCCTGCATGGTATCCATCTCTACGGGATATTCTGTAACCTTCTGAAAACAGAATCGTTTCAAGGAAACGGGGAGTCCATCACCTCTATACATGCAATACGACCTCTCTCGCCAGAATCTTTCAACCGGAGACCAACAGCAGCTACACATATAATCTGCAGCAGCCAGTGGATGAAGTAGCTTTTCAAAACGATGTTTTTAGTTTTATCCAATAACCTCATAGAAACGGCGAACGCACGATGAATGCCGAGGAGAAGAGAGAACATTGAGCTACCTGTAAGTCATTCCATCTTTCATTCTCCATCACTGTTGGTTACTTAAAAACAGAACAACCATAATCCAAAGTTGGTTTATAGTACTGATGATTTCAAAACGAGTAAGAAATCCCGTGTTGTACAAACTGGCACATGGTAAGATAACGTAGGTTTGCATACCAATGGTCATGTAGAGTTGGGCGAACCCAGTTCTTAAAAATAGCTTCATAAAAGCTATCTGAATGGTTTTACTCACGTTAAGTCATGTCCATGTATGACAAATCGAGAGAATGAAGACAGTTTCGTCGGGACAGTCATGAATAAGTACATTGAGAAGAACATGAGAAAGACTCCTAACGATGATAAGCTATACATGACGATAGAATAGATATTCATCGAGAAACCCACACGTCTGAAATTTCTATTCTGGTGAGCAGCAACTGAGAAGCCAAAAGACTTGCAACGGTAAATTGTGTCCGCTCATTTACCCCAAATTCTCACAAAAAAATTGGATTCATCCTTCCATAAGAAATGGGTAACCACAGCTACTATGTAGACTAAATGAAAATTGAAAACAACAACTCGACTGTCTGCTCGTCGCTATCATCAACCTACTACTTCAACACTTCTGATACACAAATTTTGCTCACAATATGTAGCAGCTATGCAGGTTTATGAAAATAATGCTCGTTCAACATCATTGCATAGAAACACTTACAATCAATCTCACAGTCGGAAACATACTTCTGATACTTCTTACAGTTTGCGAATCACAAACAGTGGATGAGAAACGAGGAAAACAGAAATTCATTAACCAATAAATGAAAGGAAGGAAGGACCACAATGGTTTAGATTTACACAATGATTTAGCTCATTGATCAAGAACGAATAAGACGACATTGCTTCCATTTCGTTCTGATATCTCTACTAAGAGCGATAACTATGGATTTTCCAAACTGTTCAGATTCGGACGACAAAGAATAACAATTATAGAGTTAGCTTACTGATAAAGGCTAATACTCTTCGAATGCTAATAAGACTCTACTACTTCTGCGAAATGAGATGAGTAGTACTGAACTAACTAATCGAATAAAAGAATCAAACAAAAACCTTCACCAAAAGAAATTCGAAAACACTCAACCTCTCTCTAACCGCCGAACATGTCAAATGACTGAAATATCCGATTTTTTCCCGCCTGACCAGAATACAAATTTCAAGCTACATGAAACGCAAGGATCAACGAGGTTGGTTTTTCAGCAAGAAGGAGTGGTTTGTTCAAATGACATTTTGCTGGATACTTTATCGTCACGCAACTCAGGATTGCGGTTTGTTAGAATTGTTCGTTCCAAGCATTTTGAGAATTTCCTATCTCAAAAAATCTGTTTCATCTTGAATAATTAAAGAAGGATAAGTGAATGGATAGTGACTGATTGATAAAGACATTTGCTTTTCTTCACTCAGGTTGCCTTCAACTCCATTGTTTATCAGTCCTTTTTCATCTGAAGCACATAAACCATTCGTTATTTGTTCTACTCTGTTCAACGCGACGATTCTCTTCTCTTATTGAACTGTTCATAGTGTTCGACAAAGAATTTCAAAAGGTATCTGCGCTGTTCAATTTTTTCAATACTGATATAAACGCTGTGACCACTAACTGTTGTGAGCTGTGTAATCATTTCTGTACTGTATGGGTATGGAAGCACATTGAAGGCGGAGCCAGAATAGAGAAAAATGTTTACATGGTAGTATAGATAAGAATAGGAATATGCATATTTAGATTCGTCGAAGCTGTTGCTACAGTCATGTGGTGGCCATCAGGCTTCTCGCACAGTGGTCAGTAGAGCAGAGATATACTAGGTTGTACACCAAACGGGTAAAAAACTTTTGCCGTTCTTAATACGCTACTATGACATATTGAACCTGTTGATTCGTTGTTTCTTGTGATCTCATTTCTATTCAGTATTTTTTCAAATTCCTATAAACAGCTTTCAATGTTAACTTTCGAATTGGCGTCATGCGCAAGAACTGTTAAACACTTGTACATAATGAGTGAATTGAGGGCGATGAGGCGATTTCGAAAAGAAAACATGCAACTATCATTTTTGGTTTTGTATGTACTAGAGAGACTGCGCCAATAAAAAAATTCTATTGGTAATAAAAAAATGTTTTTTCAACAATTAATGTATTCAAAACATCATTAGATTATTCTTATAATTATATTTTAGATGTTTGCTAACAACGGGTATAAAAACAGTCGAAAGCAGCAGATGCGCATCTTTGAAGCTATGATGAAGACAAAACTATGCATGCTGCTCTTTACTAGCCTAATGCTCTTAATACCTTGCCATGCTGTAAGTTGTTTTTGATATTCCGATTTGTATACTGACCAGCTATTTGAGCTTATTCCTCGCAGTCTTCTTGAAAGAGAGCTCCAAGTTCTCCAACATAGAATGAATCCGAATGATGGTATGATCTGAATTGATATAATAATAATAATATTCATGCTTTTTTCAAATCAACCATTAGAGCATATCCGATCGTCATTAAGATCTATTGGGAAGACGTACCTGACAGCGATGAACACAGGTCTGTTCTTTGAAGAACAGTGATTAAGGTGTTTTTTTCTAGCAGAGTTTCCAAGGATGATACCTCGAGGCTAAAATATTTAATCCACCGACTCAATTTGAAATAATCATAACATTTGAAAACGAGGGGCAATCTTCATCCAGAATCCATTGAAAATAAAAATTTTACACTTTTGACTTGAATATGTATTATATTATATTAAAAAAACATAGTTGAGTCGAATAGATTTAAGATAACAATATCTGATACACTCGAACGGTGGACTTTGATAAGATTGGTTCAGCCAACCGGGGAAAAATACAATCAACATATCTTAGGAGACTAACCCATTAACCGAAATGCAAAATTTGAGACAAAGGAGAGAGGGAGAAAAGAAAGATTCAAATATGAGCAGAGATTAGCAGCGGAGCACGTTTTTCGGATAAAAAAGTTCAAAAATGGATTTTTAATATCTGAAAAGAAACAAAAAAAGGAATTCAAATATTAAAAGATCAAAAAGAACGAGTGTAATGAGCTCATGCGTGCTCCATTCTATAAGCGCCGAAAAGACACGACCGCTCAACAAAAAATTTATTGTGGAATGAAACCAGCGTGCACGACCGCACCAGTGCTTCTCCATTGATGGAAAATGAAATCAGAAATTTTCATTCTCACTTCGCTTCTTCAGTGAGCGATGTACAGTGAAAACATCTGTAACTTCATGGAAAATGATCCAAAATGGATGATTTAAGTTGTATTCTGGAGCTTACCTTGAGCCGGAAACAACGAGATGTAATTCACGGATCGAATACTCTCAGATATCGTGATTGAAGGAAATAGAATGAGGAAGAATGATCTCAGGAAATTCATCGAAATTTCGAAAAACATTTGTTTAATATTGACTGAGGAATCTTGTTCAGATTGATATAACTACGCCTCCCGCAAGGGAAAATATTATACAAAATGGTGGTTCTATAACTCTGACTGAGACAGAGTCTTTTCCCAAGACCCTGTCGTCTACTGCAGACAGCAGTAGCGAACCCTCAGCCAAAAATTAAACCCAGAATGAGTTACCAATGAGACTAGCTCACTAGATATTAGTGACACCCGAGTGCCACAAACGTGATGCACTGTGGCACGTGCTATGTACTTTATGCGCCGTACATCGTACGACTACCATGAGATAAGGGAACACATCGTTGCAAGACCAATTAGACCTCAAAAAAATATGAGCTTCTACTGCAGTACTACCTACCTTTAATCATATACACTGATTGAAACTTATTTAAGAATAAGAATACATTATTCTATAATTCTACAACTGCAGGGTATTATTTAACACCTGTGATTTCAAAGATTTATTCTAATTTGAACAATTTAAAAAATGCTCAAAGAAGCCGTAATTCTCTTCTATTTCTTTTTCTAAATACTTGCAAGTGTTGAACTTTTTCCAAGCTACTCGTACAGTGATGGGCCAAATATGAGCAAGCATGCGTTTTCATTGAGAAAATGATAAATTTTAAGTGAAACGTTTACAAACAATTGAGAAAATGAGTTGTGGAAACACAAAAATCAACCTTCCAACGTCATCTTTCTAATCACTCCTCGTGACTTAGGTCATCGAAATCACTCAAATCGTGTAGGTGTCTTTCTTGCAAATGCCGCAACATATCGACCATTTCCTGTTTCAGATCATGATAATTAAATTTTTTAAATGATATAAATGTACCGTGTTCTTCTTTCTATTAGCTTCAGTATATGGTGTCGTGCCAAACTCGTCCATAACTCTTGGGTCCAATCCGCATTCCATTAGATACTGTACGATGTCTTTGCGATTATGAGTCACAGCCTGAACAATATAACCAATCTATCTCGCACTAATTATTGTTTTACCACATGGAGAGCAGTTCTACCATCATAGTCACATTCTTTCATAGTACATCCCGCTGCTCTATAGCATTTGAGCAGTGTTAAGTCACCCTGTGAAGCAGCTAAGCACAACTCAACTCCTAAATTTTTCCGTTTTCACAAATGACTAAAGATGAACAAAACCTATTTTGTGTGTTGTGGCATCAATACTTGCGCCAGCTTTTCTTAGAACATGGACGCATGGCAGAGCTTTAGCCTTCACAGCACATACTAATGGATTATACCCAAACATATCCCTAGAATAAATTATTCACTCGGAGGATGTGTCGAAAAAAATCTACTTTGTGTGAACATTAACTCCTATGCTCAAAAGATATTTGACAGCGTCGATGTTTCCATGAGATGCTGCCACATGTAGAGCAGTTCGCAAATTGTAGTCAGGAGAAGAGAAATTGACACCACTTTCCTGAAATACCAGAAAGTGAGATCATGCAAGAGACGAAACATACATTCAAGCTCTTCAGAAGCTCGGGTTTATTAGTTTTTGCAGCATTACAGAATAATGGAGGAAGGATGGTGTCCCGTAAGAGTTGAATCTCATTCGTAGAGGATAACCTCAAGCATTTTGCGATATAGGGAACTGGAATGCACAAAGTTTGATTGTCAGGGTTATAAAATCAATCATACTGATGTCAGATTCTCTCATTGGTTCCATGTTGCTCACTGTCATTTCTCCACGAAGATTGGTTTGTAACATCTGAGAAATTTATTACAATAATGTCATTATTTCCAGGTGTAGGTAAACTAACAAGTTTTTTCTTAGCCAGTGGCCATTCATCCTTTCCAAGCACATAACACATTTTCGTCATAGCAGCTTCAGAAGTCATATCTGAGCCAGAAATGACTCCAATATCTGTTAGAACTTTTCCAGTCGCATAATTCAAATCCACTTGTCCTCGAAGACATTGAGAGCAATTGAGCACAAGCAATCCCCTCTCATCAATAGCTTCCTTGATAATAACCATCAGAAAGGCGTATCAATATTGCCAAACCTTAATAGCATTCAGAATATCTTTACGTTGCGATGGCACGTTTCCACATCCATATGTTTGAAGAATTACTCCTTTTACTGGCGGAGCTAAGAAAGACTGGACCTTAAACAAGTTTAAACTGGGTTACAAGCTAGAGACAGACATGTATCTTACCAGTTCAATACTTATGGACGGGAAAATTCTGAGAATACCAACGTTCCTACACAGGTTATCATGTACAGAGAACGCTTCAATAGTATCACTTCGAAAAACGGAATCATAGTTCACTAAAAATGAAAAAAACTATGTTAGTTCACTACATTCATTCTCTCACGTTAAATGAGGATTCTCACCTTTTATATTAATATTCATTCGTGCTAATGGTGGTAGATTTGGACTCTCAAAGGCTTCCAACGCGGAATTGTCAAGTTTGATTGTACGATTGCCTCGCATCAGCTTGTTATTGAAATAAACACAAACCTGAATAAATTTGTTAATTTAACTGAATTATGAAGAAGTTAAACCTCTGGAATATCTAAGTTACCAGCTACTACTAAAGCTCCTATCAAGTTGTCCATGCCGTCTGAGCGTACTTCAGCCACGGGAATCTACAATGTTCGAGGTAATAAGTTTATATCGAGTTATATGATATACTTGGCTTCCTGTTATCACCACAGGTTTTCCTAAATTCTCCATCATGAACGATAGAGCACTTGCTGTATAAGCTAAAGTGTCGGTCCCATGAAGCACAACAAAACCATCATAGTTATGATAAGCCTTCTTGATATCCGAAGCTATTCGAATCCAATCGTCGAATGTCATATCACATGAATCAAGTAATGGCTCATATTCCACTATCTGTAACGATAGTAAGTTTACGTTTTATATAATTAATGATTATACCCAATATACAACCCGTTTTGTCATACCACGTACTGGTGGTAGAGAGTATGGACGAACAGTCGCTACATTCCCATAATGCTCATTTATGAAGTTTCGATCATTCAATGGAGGAATGTCTCGTAGGACTTCAGGCAAATATCCAGCATAAGGCTTGTAAACTGAAAGCTTTCAGATTCATTAAGGTTTTCTCATCCATTCGAAAGTCAAATGCAACTCGTTTCAAATGATGTCATTTTACGCAACGATTATTTCTCTTTACGCGTCAGCTGAAATCGGTTGCATTCTCATAAGACAGACGAGCGTGTTCATCAAACTTTTCAATTCTTTTTTCTATTATCTAATTTGTCTCAATAACAAAAAAAAAAGAGAAAGTTTCCGTGGGTGTCCTGAACAAACAAAATAACGATGGAATTATCGAAAGTAGAAGCTAATGAACACTCACACTGTCTTAATCGGATCATTTTTGATCGAAGACTAAAGTTTTTCGTTTCCATTGATCAAACAAGATATAATAATCGTTCAAATGAAGATCCAGAAGATAGTTTATATAAATACATTACCTCCATCCTTATTCATCATTCCAATAGTTCCGCCGGTATAGAGAACCAGTACTCTTGTTTCAGGTAGAGAAGTTGGGGCATCGATAGTCTTTGAAACGGTTACTGGGTCACTAAGTTCTTGCACGAGGTCCTGAAAGCAAACAGTTAGATCACAATGTAAAGTAAATTTGAATGAATTTGAAAATCTCAGACTCCGAATCAACCTCTATGTATCCGCGAACTATGATCGACTCATTAGGACGTACATCAAACGGGTAAAGAACTTTTGCCATTCTTAATACGCTACTGTTTAACTTTTATAACTTTTTATGAAACGAAGCCGAATAAAAGAGTTTGAGATTTTGCTAATGGTTAAGACGACAATCAGTAATAACATCCTGTTCAAGCTTAACCACAACAGAAACCATACAAACACTGAGCGACAAAAGAGTTTCAATCAAGAAAACGCCGAGTACAGTTGACCTCGGTGCATCTGATGTGTTTCAGACGGAGTTTGTCGTCAATCGCATCTCGTGGTTGTTTTAACGAGCATGACAACGACACGAAATGTTAAATGTGTTCTAAAAAAACTCTATTTCCTTTCTCTCTTTTCCAATTTCCCTCTCACAGCGTTCCTCTCTCTTCCATTCTCTCTTTCTTTCTCTCCTCCTCCTCTCCCTGGCTTTTCTTTTTCTCTCTGAATGCAATCAGTCGATTGCGCACTAAAAGCTGTACCAAGCTAAACACACCCATCTAACTATAAGATTAACAGAAGAAAAATATAAATTAATGAGTAATCGGAAAACCGCATTATCCAACGATGCTTGAGACAGTTCTAAACTTTATGGTCTAATCAAGACTATTGAGAACTCCACTCTCTCATTTCTTCTTTCCCCCCACCCGCGCCATTTCCTCCACCTCCTCAGTTTTCACAAAAGTAAGACGTGCTATCGTATTAATCTTTTGATTTTCGTATGAACTTTGAGATCACTCTATGATACCTTGTATAAAAAAGAAAAGACAGACGTTTAATAGCCTTTTCCGTCGACAACTTAACCCTTTACTCCTCTAAACAAGCTGGGAAACAAGAAACTTTACGGTTTTCGCTTTATTTTTCCATAAAATGGCGGTAAATATCTTTTTTGATGGCAAAAGACATGTTGGAACCTTTTATGATCTTCGATTAAGCGAAGAGAGAAACAATGAGACAGTAAATGAAAGTAATGAACATACCGTTGCTGATATATTCCTCAACATCGAGCCATCAAGAACTTTGAGCATTTTTGGAGTGTGAGAAGCATCTAATGGTGTTCGTCGTAATCCTAAGGAAGAATCTGAAAACGAAAGACACAATGTGATATAACTCATATTACGAAGTAATCTTGCCTTCAGGAATGCTTCCGTTCTCGCATCCTCGAACTTTCACAATCGGAATAGCAGCCGATGACATTTTGGCTGTTAACCAATTCAAATCTAGAAGAATATTTTGAACAGAAGGCAATGTTGAGTGTTCGCTAATATCGTTAATAGTTTGCGAATCGTGGGATCCATGTAACAGAAGAGACATGAGGGCTAGACGAGGATAGGACGTTTCAGCTAATGTTGTTTCAATCCAAGATTGTGCAGTATAAGAGGAAAAACTGTCTTATTTCAAAAACGTTTTTTCGTTGACTTATGTCTGTCGTTGATAAGAGAATGTCAATGTATCAAAAAGATGCGAGAAAAAAAAGAGTATTTATATCAAGCTGATGATGAGGTCAAATGCCATAAGCAAGACAGTCGTCTCGTGAGCAAACAGATCAGTTTAAAACAGTCAAAAGTCAACGAAATCATATTTTCTATTGAAATTAGATGTGAAACATAAGATCAAATGGAAGAAAGCAATATTTCAAGGAAATAAAATGTTCAAACATGGCAGTGGCATTAGTAATGCAAACGATGATACTACATCTACTTAATGCTGAAGATAATCGACGCTAAAGGCTAAGTAATTCGTAAAATAAATTGCTTTTCAAGTAGTATTTTCGCGAAATCACGTATTTAGGTCGAATGTGTGAAAGTTTTAAATTATGAAATTTCATATTTACCGAATAACGAATCGAAAATGAAAATGATGTGGTTAACGAGGAAGACGAAACATGTTAGAAATGAAACATTTGTAAGAGAGGATGATAGCACAACCGTTCCGTGGACTCAACATTCACAAATGAAATTGATTTTGATTGTGCCAACTGATATTAGCATAGAGATGGCGCTAAAGTTATATTTCAAGAGTTGTATTTAGAAGGTTACAATGAGGGGATTGAAAAGAGCACAGAAAGACCTTCTTCCATGATGCTGGAACTATCATTCATGATAGAGAGAAAGAAACAGCTGATATCATGAACAGAACTTTCAAAAATGAAAACTATTGTTAATCAAACTGATGAATGATCAGTTGAAAGAGATTGAGAAAACAGACACGGTGTAACGATTATGAAATGACTTTTAAAGGTCAGCAAGGAGAATATAATGTTTTTTGATAATCAAAATAAAATTTATATTACCTTTGAATTGAGAAACCTGATTGAATAGAAGTGGATTGAGCGAACAAATCGATTGGTGGGCTGAGAAAAGTCCTCAACCCTTTTCAGAGATGAAAATATGTGTTTGGAGGAGAGAAAAAGAGTTTAGTGAAGACAGAAGAAAAGAGAAGAGAGATAGAGATGGAACATAGAAGAGAAATAGAACAGAAACACTATGTGCTGCAACTCGACATGAGATATAGACAGCGAAGCAAAAAATATTGTAAAACTTAGAGATATGAAACAAGTGAAACTAGAGAGGAAAGAAAACTGATGAGAGCATCAAACGAAAGAAAGAAAGAAAGGATTACGAAAATGGAATGCGTAAATGAGAGAAGCGAGATAGCTTAAAACATGTCGTTGAGAAGAAATGTTGAAAAGCTTCCAACTGCATAACTTCATAAGCTCAAATGGTGGTTGTTTTTTTTTAAGAATTCATCACTTCTCCTTGAGTAACTGCTCCACAATATGATATCCACTTAGAATGCAAAGTACGCGATCCTTCCCTCTACTATTCCCCAACTCTACATCATGGTTGTTATGAGTTCACCAAAAGCTACTCAAAGACAGTCTATATTCCTATCCGAATGGAAGGAATAGACCATTCTTGAAGAAAATTCATGTGTATCTTCGCTTTCCAAGTTGAATAATCACAAAAAAAAAAACAGTTTATCTTGATGATCATCTGGTCACAGCTATAAAACCTTGTTTCGTAAGTTCAATTGGACGCTTCGATATCATCTGAATTTATTATCTGAATTGAATCAGTTGGATGATTATCGACTATTGATTACAATTTTCAATAACTTCTCTTTAAGCTATCACTCAAATACATGTGGAACCTCAGACAACAATTTTGGAAAATAAAAATTCATTTCAATCAAATACAACAGTCGGGCGAGCTCAGCTCAAACTTAACACACATTTATTGCTCGAAATTAGTTGAAGCTGAGATGTTTAGACACTATTTCTGCATTGAGTTGGTCTTTGATATCGCTATCAAGTTCATCAAGTTGGTATGCAGAGCTGATGGAATTATCTAAAATAATATATTCAAATTACTAAAGAAATGTCTTCAGTAACCTGCGATGAGTTCTGATTCAACTCCATTAAGGAAACCCTGTTCTATCATATTTTCTTCGTCAGCAATAATTCGCAATCCCGGTTCGATATCACGAATAACTGTGGCAATATTACCTCCTCCAAGTTTCTTTATGGTACCAGCCCCAACTCCAGCACCGAAACCATAATCGAATCCCTTAATGTAAGCTGGGTTCTTGCCAGCTCCAAATCCGGCCCCAACTCCAGCACCAACTCCAGCATTCACTCCAGCATTCACTCCCGCGTTGAAGCCTTTTTGGACTCCGAGCCCAATTCCAGCACCATTACCAAGACCAGCGATGCCAGTCACTCCATTGACAAGACCACCAACTGTTCCGCCTGAAAACGGTGCACATGGCATAACAGGGTTCTGAGGAAAAGATTGAATGAACATACCTAATCCTCCGTTACCGTTAAGACCAGCGATGCCAGTGACTCCATTGACAAGACCACCAACTGTTCCGCCTGAAAGCGGTGCACATGGCATAACAGGGTCCCGAGGAAAAGATTGAATGAATTTACCTAATCCTCCGTTACCGTTAAGACCAGCGATGCCAGTGACTCCATTGACAAGACCACCTACTGTATGGCCTAAAACACGGTTCACATGGCATAACAGGATTCTGAGGAAAAGATTGAATGAACATACCTAATCCTCCGTTACCGTTAAGACCAGCGATGCCAGTGACTCCATTAACAAGACCACCTACTGTATGGCCTAAAACACGGTTCACATGACATAACAGGGTTTTGATAAAGTGATCGAAGGATCATACCTAATCCTCCGTTTCCGTTAAGGCCGACAAGACCAGTGACTCCATTGACAAGACCACCTACTGTATGGCCTGAAACACGGTTCACATGGCATAACAGGGTTTTGATAAAAGGATCGAAGGATCATACCTAATCCTCCGTTTCCGTTAAGACCGACAAGCCCAGTAACTCCATTGACAAGACCACCAACTGTTCCGCCTAAAACACGGTTCACATGGCATAACAGGGTTTTGATAAAAAAGATCGAAGGAACATACCTAATCCTCCGTTACCGTTAAGACCGACAAGGCCAGTGACTCCATTGACAAGACCACCTACTGCATGGCCTGAAACTCGATTCATATATCATACTAGGGATCCGATGAAAAAATTGAACGAGCATACCTAATTGTCCGTTACCACCAAGGCCTACAAGGCCAGTAACTCCGTTGACAAGACCACCTACTGCTCCACCTGCAACGGAACTCGTGTTACAGATTAGATTAATCAAATGCGGAGTAATGGAACATACCAAGTCCCCCGTTTGCACCACCTCCAAGAAGTCCACCGACAAGACCTCCTGAAATACCGTACTCATTGCATATCATGAAATAGGCATAAAAAAAAACGAAACCTCCATTAGCGTTTCCTCCAAGCAGTCCTCCAGTTAAACCATTAACAGTACCGCCTAATCCCAGAAGACCTCCTATAATTTAAATCCATAACCTCTATACAATTAAATAGACAAAAAAAGCTCCACCTTTGCCACCTCCACCAAGAATATTACCCAGTAATCGAGCCTCTCTATAATCTGGAATGCTCTGAAAAAGTCTACGGTTAATTAGGGTTAGCATATCAGAGTAAGAAAACCTTGGCAGATCCAAGAGCCAATAAAGCAGTTAAGAGCCAGATAGATCGTATCCGAAGCATTGTTGAGAAGTTGGAGAGCTATCTAAGCCTCAGGCCTTATATATTAATTTTTTCTTATCTTCATTAGTGCTAAGCAAATTCATAAAAATTTTTATTTCACTATTTATTTTTTTGTAGCAGTACAACTGAAAAACAACAACAAAGTCTGATCTCTTACAGATTACATGATGACGGCTGATTTTCAGTGAAAGCAGTGCATTACCGCTTATCATTATACGACGTGCATTATGAGTTCCTTCTAAGTGATAATGAATTACAATGTCTTCTTGTTTATGAGAACAATTTCTGTCATCTGAAGACATTTGGTTTTTGAGCGAACCTAAACGGCACGCTGCTCATCTTATTGTTGATTATTATCGGTAGTTAGGCGTTTTTGGTTTCAACATCTGATTGATAATGAAAAGATGTATAGTTTACGATTGGGTACTATTCTACTGTAAGCTATATGATTTATTCTTTTTTTGATTAAATCATTAGAAAAACATCTTTCACCTTGTTGTGTCTTACGATACTCAAGGCAGCACGTAGTAAATGCCTGCATAGAAAAAGATATAAATTTCTTTTACGATTTGGAGATAAGCTGAATTCTGCTGATGATACAAACATAGTACTGTAAGACAGCGATGAGCATGAGACTAATATCGAGATAAATGAGTGACCCAATGTTTTCATCCAAGCCCTTCAAGTATTATTTGAAATGAAAAAAAACTCTTTGGAAATCAATCAATCTCTTAGCTGTATATTTAAAAATACTGAGATATGGCATTGATTTGTATTTCATTGGTTATAGCAGTGTAAGAGCTCTTCGAACATGTTCGTGTTGGATAGCGTAATCATTATTATTGAGTAAGGCTAGTACGTTATAAGGTTTAGAAGTTTGGCTTTATGAGCAAATCATCTGAACAACGACCGTATTCTAAGCAGCATAAGTATCGAAGAGTTCATTGCTCATCGCATCTTTTGATAGGTATTGTGAATACTTGGGTATGAATCTATCCATTACCTTTATCAGAATTATTTGTTCATATTCTTCAACAACATGCTCAGAGTAATAAATGAAGTTTATTTGATTGAATACACATAACAGAAATTGGAGCTCAACTCCATAAAGTTAAAAAAGTGTGGGGATTTGATTTATCGTTAGAGTAATCTTCTTAAGCTCCCTCTGCGATCATATGTTCGATTTCGACAATTTGATCAGACATGTTGTTTTCCATGGTTTGATCGAGCAGGGTGTCGACTGCTGCAACTTGATCATAGCTGATTCTGTTATCTGTTTATAGAGCAGGGATTTTTGAATAATAAATGAATTGATTCTTACTATCAATTAAGTTTTGTTCGATGTTTTGCTTGAATTTCATTTTTGCCATTTGAGCTGACTTGTCGACACCTCCGACCATGAATCCGTCTAAATTGTAAGATCTTTTTCTACCGAAAAATAGCTTATTACCTTTCAACAGTTTGTTCTGGACCACTGCAAGCTGGACTTTTTTACCACCTCCGATTCCACCTCCGATTCCACCTCCGATTCCAGCTCCGACTCCAGCTCCGACTCCAGCTCCGACTCCAGCTCCGACTCCAGCTCCGACTCCAGCTCCGACTCCAGCTCCGACTCCATGTCTCTTATACACATCT